GCTGTTGCTGCTGGTGGTGCTGCTGTTGCTGCTGCTGTTGCTGCTGCTGTTGCTGCTGCTGCAGGTGTACTAAGAAGGAGACAGGCAGTAGTAGAGAAAGGCAAAAGAAAAATAAATTGTATAATAAAGAATTTAATTATACGTAAGGATAAAAAAGAAGGAAGAAAAGGAGAAAAAAAAAGAGACAAAGGGAAGATAAAGGGGACTGTCTCCTTATTACATCCTAATATTAATGAGAGACACCGTGTACCCCCTGAGACATACATAACAGACACACCATGCCCTCCTGCTGCTGCTGCTGCTGCTGCTGCTGCTGCTGCTGCTGCTGCTGCTGGGGTTGCAGAGACACTGGTAGAAGGCAGCAGCAAAGGAGACAGGAAAAAAAGAGACAATTAAAGGGACAAAAGGAGACAAATGTATTTATTTATTTAATTATTTTATTTAATTTATTTACTTAATTAATTAATTAATTTATTTATTTATTTATTTATGTATATAATTTACCACATATATTAATAATTAAGGAAAGAAAAGAATAAAGGGAGACACTTTGTGTTAATTGTCTCCCTAATAAAAGTATTAATTGCTGCTGTATAAAAAAATATTCACGATTGTCTCCTTTTTTTTCCTGCTGCTGCTGCTGCTGCTGCTGCTGCTCTGCTGCTGTTGCTGCTGTTGCTGCTGTTGCTGCTGGTGCTGCTGGTGCTGCTGGTGCTGCTGCTGTCTTGTGAGGTGTCTCCGCAACTCTTGTAGGGGGAGACACCGCAAAAGGAGACACTTGGAGACTGTCTCTTTCTCTTGCTGCTGCGGGTGCTGCTGCTGCTGCTGCTGCTGCTGCTGCTGCTGCTGCTGCTGCTGTTTGTGCAGCAGCAGCAGAAAGAGACACGGTCTCCTCTGGTACCACCACCTCCAGTTCTCTTAAGGGGGCCCCCCAATCCAAGGGATTAGGGGGCCCCCCTGTGTCTCCTTGTACAGGAGAAGGTACTTTATTTTCTGTTAGATAATAAAAGGGTACTGCTGCTGCTGCTGCTGCTGCTGCTGCTGCTGCTGTTGCTGCAGTGTCTCCTTTTGTGTCTCCTTTTGTGTCTCCTTTTATTAATAAAGAATAATTAGTATTAGTTACCTCAATAAGAATAAGGAGACAGGAGACAAAAGAAAAAAAGGACAAGAAGAAAAAAGAACAATTAATTCTTATTATATATCTTTGTATATATTTATTATTATAATTATTTATATTATTAATTAAATAATAAATATATAAAAGGAGACACCCTATAAAGGAGACACCTGATACCCAGCAGCATATGCATAAATAAGACATCTTCTTTCCCTCTTTATTGTCTCCTATTAGCAGCAACTGCAGCAAATGGGGGCCCCCTGAAGGGGGCCCCCTTCCAACGGACCCCTCTTTATGGTGCCCTACTTCAGGGGGCCCCTTGAAAAGGGGCCCCCCTTGTATGGGGGGCCCCTGGGTAAGGGAAACAAGAGGGACGGTGGATGAGCTGCAGGGAGAGGGATTACGAGTTGCTGCTGTTGCTGCTCTTGCTGCTGAATATATCTCTTCTCCTTTGCTGCATGCAGAGGCCGCATGCAGCAGCAGCACCAGCAGCAGCGGCAGCAGCAGACACGCGACAAGCTGATGCTGCAGCGCGGAGACCATTGGGGCCCCACAGGGAGACCCTTTGTACCCCATAGAGGGGCCCCTTCTATTGTCCTTCCTATTAGGGAAAGCTGTCCCCGCATGCAGCGGCAGCTGCTGTTTCTGCTGCTGCTGCTGCTGCTGCTGGTGCTGCTTCCTTTTTACCGTCTTCCTCTGTCTCCTCCTGTGTCTCCATCGGTCACCCCCTGTCTCCCCTTATTACATAATAAAGGCAGCAATAATACATAAAAAGAGAGAAAAATAAATAAAATAGAATATATATAATGTATTATTTAATATATTTAATTATCTTTTCCCCTCCTTACAGCGACAGCAGCAGCAACAGCAGCAGCAGCAGCAACGCTCGCTGGTGACACCGCAGAGTCACCCTGTCGGCAGCAGCAGCAGCAGCAGCAGCAGCAGCAGAAACAGCAGCAGCGGAGAAGTATAAATCCTTAAAAACAACACTTTTATGTTAATAATTATTTATTTCTTTCTTGCATGGAAATACAAGAAAAGGGAAAAAGCAGCAGCAGCAGCAGCGGCAGCAGCAGCATCAGCTTGAGGTGTATAGGCAGCTCCGTCTACACACCATAGCTACTGCAGCGACGACTTCGTTTATATAAAAGATATAAAATTAAATTAAATAATAAGAAAAATAAATTAAAATAAATTAAATAAGTAAATAAATAAATAAATTAATTAATTAATTAATTTGTTTCTTTATTTTAATGAATAAATTAACAAGAAAATAAAAAGAAGAAAAAGCAGCGATGCTGCGGTGTATCGACAGCTACACAGGGAGAAAAAAGCTTTTTTTTCCTTTTTCTTCTCTTTTTATCCTTTTCCTTGTTTATTAAATAATAATTATTTATTTATTTATTATTTTTATTATTTATTTTAATCATTAAACACCTTTTTGTTATTTTTTTTTCTTTTATTAAATGGGGAAGGTGGGGCCCCCCACTAAAGGGTACTAAAGGTTATATGGGGGGGCCCCTCTACAGGGGCCCCCAATTACCCCTTTAGTACCTTTTTGTGTCTCCTCCCCTTTTCTTGTATATGTATAAGGGGATATGTGTATATTGTTTATTAAAGACAGCAACAATGCATGCAGCCCCAATAAAGACATAAAAAGCCCTATTATTATAAATGCATGCAAAGGAGACACCAATAGAGTCTATCTTCGTCCCCCCTGCATGCAGACAGCAGCAGGCACAGCAGCCTTCTGCTGCTGCTGCATAGACGCTGTTGCTGCTGCTGCTGCTGCTGCTGCTGCTGTTAAGGAGGAGACAGCATTGGGGAGACAACTTTTGCTGCTGTCTCCTTTGACTACCCTAAACCCTAAACCCTAAACCCTAAACCCTAAAACCCTCAGAAGACACTCGAGTGCAGCAAAGACAATTGTGTCTCCTTTTTATTCATAAATAATAAAAAGGAGAAAAAAATTGTCTCCTTTTTTATCTCTAATATTATAACAGCACAAAGAAATATAATACTGAGGAATTCATAAACCCTAAACCCTAAACCCTAAACACTAAACCCTAAACCCTAAACCCTAAATTCGGAGTCTCAGTGCTTAAAATCTTCTCTAAGGATGAATCTTTAACTACGGGGCCTGTAGTTTAAACCCCCACTAGGGTTTAGGGTTTAGGGTTTAGGGTTTAGGGTTTGTACAAAATAATTATCAATTGTATGGTGTAAACAAACCCTCAGATGAATAAAATTTGTTTATGATTATAATTAGAGAAAAGAAGGAGAAAAAAGGGTTTAGGGTTTAGGGTTTAGGGTTTACGGTAGTTTGAGGTGTATAGACAGCTATTAAACACTTTTGTATATATATCTGGCCATAAACCCTAAAAAAGGGTTTAGATAAAAAGTAAATAAAATTATAATTAAATAATAAATAAATAAATAAATAAATAAATAATAAATAAATAAAATATAAATAAATAAATAAATAAATAAAATAAAAAAAGAAAGGAACCGATGCTGCAGCTACAAAGGAAGGAGGAAGCAGCCGGGAAGGGGGGGACCCCATTATCGGGGGGCTACTGTAAAGCCTCCAAACCCTAAACCCTAAACCCTAAACCCTAAACCCTAACATTGAATTCTGTTTATAAATAACAAATAATCTTTATAAAAAGATATTCTTTTACAGATCGTCAGCAATAAACCCTCTTTTCTCTTGAGCCCGTCTCTCCGATCAACCCCCTAAACCCTAAACCCTAAACCCTAAACCCTAAACCCCAAACCCTAAGCCCTAAACCCTAAGCCCTAAACCCTAGATATTAAACCCTTGACGCTAAACTGTCATTTCGTATTTCATAACCAACACTATACTTTACTTTTGCGTTGATCTTCTAGGGTTTAGGGTTTAGGGTTTAGGGTTTAGGGCCCCCATTCGTCATTTAGATCCTTAGGGGGGCCCCCGCGACTTCCCTCTTGCGCAGTGTCTTTCTTTGTTTATAAAAATATAAATAAATAAAATTATTTAATTCTTCTTGTCTTTATCTATAACATTACCATCAGCAGCAGCAGCAGCAGGGGCGCAGCAGCAGCGGGAGGAGCGCAGCAGCAGCAACAGCAGCAGAAGCAGCAGTGGCAGCAGCAAACAAGAAGTGCTGATGGTACACAGCTGCTGCTGCTGCTGCTAGTGCTGCTGCCTTTAACACAATGGCATCACCTAGCTGCAGCAGCAGCAGCAGCATACCACCAGCAGCAGCTGTTGCTGTTTACCAGCTCCCAGCAGCAGCAGCGGAGAGGGCTGCAGCTGCAGCAGCAGCAGCAGCAACAGCAACAGCTGCTGCTGTTGCAGCAGAAGCTGCTGTAGCAAGAGAAGGACCATCAGTATCTTTTGCCGCAAAGACAATAGCAGCAGTAGCAGCAGCAGAAGCAGCAGTTGCTGCTGCTGCTGCTGCTGCTGCTGCAGCAGCAGCAGAAACAGGAGACGACTGTCTGTCGGATGCGGTCTGTCTTCTCTCCTCTACAACTGCAGCAGCAGCAGCAGCACGCTCCTTACTCCCCTGTACCCTGGGGCCCCTCTCCTCCTTTGGGGGCCCCCTACCCGATCTATGGTTTATATGTTTTGAATTATATTGCTGCAGATCTTCTTTCCCTCCCCATCAGCTGCAGCAGCGGCTGCAGTCCTTCTTGGGGGCCCCCAAGGTGGGGGCCCCCCTTGGGGCCCCCCAGGGGACCCGTCAAGGGACCCACCTGCCGCGGCCCCTAGGGGCCCCCAGCGGGCTTGCTTTCCTGTCATATAAGGAGGCAAGGGCCCTTTTACTTAGGAGGGGGCCCCCCTGCTATGATGCCTCGCATGTTGCTGCTGCTGCAGCACAGCTGCGCGGCAGCAATCTGCTGCCAAGGGAGGCTGTGGGGTTGCTGCTGCTGCTGCAGCTGCTGCATAAGAGGGCACAAAGGGTATTTGCACTGTATGAGCAGGGGCCCCAGAGGCCCCTTGAGACCAGTACCCTAATTTGTATATTGGTGGAGACATTGCAGCCTGCTGCTGCTGCTGCTGCTGCTGCACTGCAGCAGGTGGTGCAGCAGCAGCAGCTACGGCCCTCCTTCGAGGCCTTTGCCACTCTTTTGCTGCATACAACAGACACAAATAAAGGGGGCCCCCTTTCATCTGTTGGGGGGCCCCCTAATAATATATTAGGTCTCCTACAGGGGCCCCTGCAGCTAGTAAGAAAGAAAAGTGTCTCCTCTAGCAGCAAACGTCCCCTGCAGCAGGAGGAGACAACGGAGACAGCTGCACCCTTACCTAAACGTCAACTCCTCCATTGCCCTGGTTAAAGATAAGTTAGGGCCCCCAAGGGGCCCCCTTAGGGGCCCACACAACACACTTAGGGGCCCCCGCTCAGGGGCCCCCCTAAGGGGCCCCCTTGGGTTTCTTAGAGGCTTATTGGGGTCTATTAATTGCCTGTCTCTAAGGGGCATATAAGAAGGGGCAGCAACGGGGTTGCTGCCTCCTGTCTCCTCTAACCCATACGAACCAGGGAGCAAGCAGCAGCAGCAGCAGTAGCAGCAGCAGCAGCAACAGCAGCAGCAGCAGCAGCAGCGCCTGCACGTTCTTATTATTTGCTTGAGGGATGCGGTGGCACAACAAGACGGGCAACTGGACGTCTTCCCGATGCACAGCAGCAGCAAGCAGCAGCAACAGCAGCAATAGCAGCAGCAACAGCAGCACAGCAGCAACTGCAGCAACAGCAGCAACAGCAGCAGTGGGAGAATGATTTAGCGGCGTGTCTAAATGAGGGTACCTGCAGCAATTAAGCATCTGAGTTGTCTGTACACCCGAAGAAAGGGCCCCTTGAGGGGCCTCTTGGGGGGCCCTCCAAGGGGGCCCCTGGAGGCCCCACTTGTTACTGCATTACTTTGGGGCCTGTTTGCAGATAAGGAGGAGCCCTTAGGAGTTACACAGCGAGAGCCCTTTTACCCTTGGGGCCCCCTTGTGTAGTTGGCAAGGGGGCCCCCAGGGGCCCCCCAGGGAAAGGCGGCCCCGGAAGGCACGTTGTTGTACTCTTATGTTGTCCTCTGCATTAAGTTTTGGGGATTAGGGGGCCCCTTGTTGAAGGGGGGGCCCCTAACCCTAAACCCTAAATCCTAAACCCTAAACCCTAAAAGTTTTAATTACTTAAACTGCATTTTAAAAGACATTAGTTGATAGGAGTCTGGTGCCCACATAGTCCTCCAAACCCTAAACCCTAAACCCTTAGCATGTGGGGCCCCCGTAGCCAGACCCCGCCACAGTAAGTCCCTCGCAGACCCCAACAGGGTACTGAACCCAAAAAAAACGAAAAAGCCGAGACGCCTCTCGACCTTGGGGGCCCCTTGCGGGGCCCCCAGGGGCCCCCCCAAAGGGGCCCCCAAAAGATATTGTTAGCTTCCATCTTAACTACATTATAGTGGGCTTAAAGTTTTGCTTAGAGGCAACGGGGGTACCCGCGGCCTTTCAATAGAGGCAGACTTCTTTGGGGGGCCCTTCGGGGGGGCCCCCTTAGCCAAAGTAGCCTCAGGGTGCTCACCTGCGGAATCCGTACTCAACTCCTTCGGGTTAGGTTGCCCCTTTGGTGGGGGCCCCCCTGCCGGAGGCCCTTTGGAGGGGGGTCCCCCTGCTGGAAGCCCTTTAGGTGGGGGCCCCCCGGCTGGCGGCCCTTTCGGAGGTGCCCCCCCTGCTGGAGGCACTTTAGTTGGGGCTGCACCTGCTGGAGGCCCTTTTGGTGGGGGCCCTCCTGCTGGCGGCCCTTTTGATGGGGGTCCCCCTGCTGGTGGTGCTTTAGGTGGGGGCCCACCTGCTGGAGGCCCTTTTGGTGGAGCTGCCCCTGCTGGAGACCCTTTAGGCGGGGGCCCACCTGCTGGAGGCCCCCCTACTGGAGGCCCTTTTGGTGGAGCTCCCCCTGCTGGAGGCCCTTTAGGTGGGGGCCCACCTGCTGGAGGCCCCCCTGCTGGAGGCCCCCCTGCTGGAGGCCCTTTTGGCGGAGCTACCCCTTCTGGTGGCCCTTTTGGTGAGGGCCCCCCTACTGGAGGCCCTTTGGGTGGGGCGTTCCCTGCTGGGGGCCCCTTTGGTGGGGGCCCCCCTACTGAAGGCCCTTTTGGTGGAGCTCCCCCTGCTGGAGGACCTTTAGGGGGGGGCCCCCCTATTGGAGGCCCTTTGGGTGGGGCGCCCCCTTCTGGTGGCCCTTTTGGTGAGGGCCCCCCTACTGGAGGCCCTTTTGGTGGAGCTCCTCCTGCTGGAGGCCCTTTAGGTGGTGGCCCCCCTATTGGAGGCCCTTTTGGTGGGGCGCCCCCTTCTGGTGGCCCTTTTGGTGGAGCTCCTCTTGCTGGAGGCCCCTTTGGTGGAGATGCCCCTGCTGGTGGCCCTTTTGGTGGTGCCCCTCCTGCTGGAGGCACTTTTGGTGGGCCCGCCCCTACTGGGGGCCCTTTCGGTGGGGGCCCCCCTTCTGGTGGCCCTTTTGGTGGGGGCCCACCTGCTGGAGGCCCCCCTGCTGGAGGCCCTTTTGGTGGAGCTCCCCCTGCTGGGGGCCCTTTTGGTGGTGCTCCCCCTGCTGGAGGCCCTTTGGGTGGGGCACCCTCTGCTGGTGGCCCTTTAGTTGGGGGCCCCCCTGCTGGAGGCCCTTTTGGTGGAGTCTCCCCTGGTGGAGGCCCTTTAGGTGGGGTCTCCCCTGCTGGAGGCACTTTTGGTGGGCCCCCCCCTGCTGGGGGACCCTTAATTGGGGGCCCCCCTGCTGGAAGCCCCCCTGCTGGAGGCCCTTTAATTGGGGGCCCTCCTGCTGGAGGCACCTTTGGTGGTGCTCCCCCGGCTGTAGGCCCCTTTAGTGGTGCCCCTCCTGCTGTTGGCCCTTTTGGTGGGGGCCCTTTTGGTGGGGGGCCCTCTGCTGCTGCCGGCAGCTGCTGTCCCTGTGTAGGGCCTGTCTTAGGGGAGGCAAGGGCAGGTGGGCCCCCTTCCTTTACGGATGGTACCTTCTTAGGAGGCCCTTTTGGGGGCCCTGGTGGGTGGCCTATGGGGGGCCCCCCGTTGGGCTCAGGCTTAGCAGCAGCATCAGCAGCAGCAGCAGCAGCAGCTGCTGCTGCTGCTGCACGCCTGTTGGCAGCAATAGTTTTAGTGTCTAGGGGCCCCTTATGGAAGGCAGCAGCAGCAGAGTCCCTAAGACGATTTGCTGACCCTGGTGTTGCAGGCTTAGGGGTCTTAGGAGGAGACTCCGTTGTTGTTCCTGCTGCTGTTGTTGCTGCTGCTGCTGCTGGAGTTGTTGCAGCAGCTGCTGGTGCATGGGAAGGGAGGTTCATCTGCTGCAACAGCGCGTCAGGCAGTGGCTCCTTCTCGCCTTGTACGCGGGGGCCCTCCTCTTGGGGCCCTGAAGGGGCCCCCTTCTTCGTGGGGGGGCCCCCTTCGCCTTCTTTACTAGCTCCCATGGGGGGCCCTTGCTTCACCGAGGGGCGGGAGCCGGTGGGCCCTCCTGGGTTCTGCTTCTCTTCCTTTTGGGGGACCCCAGGAGGCCCCTCTCCTGTTGGCAGCAGGCCTGCCTGAGGGGGCCCCCCCAGTAGAGAATCAGGGGGGCCTGTGGCCTTCACTGCGCTGGCAGTGGGGGCCTTTGCAGGAGGTGGGGGACCCCCGGGGAGGGCCCCCGCCTTCTTCATCGGTGGGGCCCCTGCACCGAACTTTGGTGGGGGGCCCTTCCTCTCCCCAGTTACGCTCTCCTCCTCCCCTTGGGTACTCGTCGTTTTGGGTCCCCCCGGTAGTGCCTTTGGGGGCCCCATAGAAAGCTTTCCTGGGGGGCCCCCGCCAGGTGGCTTCTTTGGGGGCCCTTTTGGAGGGTCTGCTGGGGATATCTTTGATGAGGGCACTGGGGGCCCCTCGGGGAGTTTCTCTGGGGGCCCCCCTGATGGTCTCTGAGGCCCCACACCTTCTCCTTGCTGGCTTACTAACCCATCTGGGCCTTGCTTTGAGGAACCTTCAGTTACCCTCTTGGGGGGCCCCTCAATCGGCTTGCTTGGGGGGCCCCCTTCTGTCACCTTCTTTGGAGGGCCCTCAATCGGCTTGCTTGGGGGTCCCTCTCCTGTCATCTTCTTTGGGGGACCCTGAATAGGCTTGCTGGGGGGCCCATCTCCTGTGGTCTTCTTTGGGGGCCCCCCAGTCGGCTTGCTTGGGGGCCCATCTCCCGTCGTCTTCTTTGGGGGCCCCTCAATCGGCTTGCTTGGGGGCCCCCCAATCGGCTTGCTTGGGGGCCCCCCTTCCGAAATCTTCTTTGGGGGCCCCTCTGTCATCTTCTTCGGGGGGGGCCCTTCTGTCGCTTTCTTTGGTGGCCCTTCAATCGGCTTGCTTGGGGGCCCCCCTTCTGTCGTCTTCTTTGGTGGCACCTCATTCGGCTTGCTTGGGGGGCCCCCTTCTGTTGCCTTCTTTGGTGGCACCTCAATCGGCTTGCTTGGGGGGCCCCCTTCTGTTGCCTTCTTTGGTGGCCCTTCAATCGGCTTGCTTGGGGGGCCCCCTTCTGTTGCCTTCTTTGGTGGCCCTTCAATCGGCTTGCTTGGGGGCCCCCCTTCTGTCATCTTTTTTGGGGGCCCCCCAATCGGCTTGCTTGGTGGGCCCCCTTCTGAGATCTTCTTTGGGGGCCCACCTTCAGGCATCTTCTTTGGGGGCCCTCCAATAGTCGTTTTGGTGGGTCCCCCTTCTGTCACCTTCTTTGGGGGCCCCCCTACTACAGGCCCCGCTGGGGGCCCTGCGAGTGCCTTCTTTGGGGGCCCCGCTGTCAGTTTTGATTCAGGTGTCTCTGCTGGTTTATCGGGTGGGCCCTCGGCGGGTTTGGGTGGGGGGCCCCCGGAGGGTTTGGTTGGGGGGGCATCCGTGGGTTTGGATGG